GATACAGCAAAAATTGACAGTTTCATCAAGTTGACAAAAAAGACTCTTAAACTTCGAGATTCTATTGAGCAATTTGTCGATTCATTTTTGTTTCAGGAGTATAACTAATTTCTCTGTTTTCGGCTATATAACTATAACATACAACAATTTTTTTGATTTGTGAAATATATATTTCAGAAATGTTGACGTTTGATAATTTGTGAAACAAATCAATCAATAAATGGGTCTAAAGGGTTCCGGAAAATGAACTTGTCAATTTTCGAATAACTCGGAAGAGCAAAAACTCAAAATAAAATGTTTGACTTACGTTGGAAGATGACAAGTCTCATTTAATCTTCGAACGAACAATTTATATTCCAGGAAACTAAGAGATCAAGTTTTATAAATGCGAAAGCTTCGTTTTTAAGCTTGACGCTGCTTAGAAAATGCGTCAAATGAAACGTCAAGCCGAATATCATGACGAATTCTTTCCCATCGTGGAAAGTAGACAGAAAATTATATTCATTCTCCTCTTCGAAGAAATATAATTGTCTCGTTAAAGAAAGAAAATTACTGAAATCGCTAGGATAGGCAGTCCGTTGTACAGAGGCCCGGGAATTGGAAAGTGGTGCAACACACACCCGCCTAGAAGCATTTGCAATTCGGCTGTAACACTCGTCAGTTTAGTGTGAAACGCGAGGATTAAGGGGGATATGTTGACCATAGGATAAAAAGAAGAGCAAAAAAAGTTGGCGTTCGAGTTGGTTCAGTAAAAGGAGAAGAAATAAAAGTCTCGGAGAAAGTATCCGGTGGGATAGGATAAATCCCATATCGCGAACAGATGCTTGCCAAGTCGCGCAGATGCATTGGCGAAAGTCGTACCTCGGAAAACTTCTATTTACTTATAGCGAGTAGCGAACGTCTTGGCCATTTCACCCGAGGAATTTGCATGCGTGCAACTTTCTATTTGGGCTGTGCCACCCCTTTAGACGCACACGCCCGTCTCCAATATCATGTCTGCCAGGCTTTTTTCCCTTGCACTCCGTCGTCGCTGTGAGAGATATTTTTATACTTTTCTTTTCTTTTCCTTCATCATACTTTCTCTTTCGTATTTGCAATTGCTCTTTAAACTTACAACTGTGCAAAGACAAGCGATCGTGCATTGCAAAAGCCACTTATCTAGCAACGGCTTATTGAACAAGCATATACTTTCGTCTTTCTCCGTGTTTTCTTTCGCGGCAAGGGCATGCGGAATGACAAATGGAGCGCCGACCAAGTTCCTTTTTTCTAAGCGCCTCAATATTCTCTTGTTTTCCTTTCATTTATTTTCGTTATAATTCAGCAAACTTCGCCGTTTGAAAAACGCCACTGCCGCGAGCGCGAACGATGAAAGAAATGGCGCTTGATTGTCCATCATTTGTGTGCAAATTGCTGCTTTCATAACTATGCGCTCAGAGAAATATTTTTGTTGGAATACCTCTCTTTTCTCTTTTCTCTCTTTCCTATTTTCATATAGCTAGCGCTATATTAATTATTGTTTAGATATGTGGGTGGTAAACGCAGTGAAATTGGAAAAAATATAGAGTACCTGTAGAATTTTCCCCTTATTCTTTTCTCTCTGGAGCTTGATTGAAATATATTTATATCAATATCAAAGTGGTTGGAAGAGTTTAAAGTGAGATATTGATCGCACGTATTTTAGCGTTGGTTGGTGATTATTTAGCCTGTATTCAGTTTGAATGTGACAAATAAGAATTAATTTTAATTATCATTCGATAGACTTATACATATAGATATGGAAACAAACTTCTTAATGCTGTGCACGTGAAATGTAAATGACAAAAATGACTTTGACAGGTTTCGAATTTAAAGGACTCAGCGTGCTACTTGAAACTTTTTATACATTAATTGAATGCTGAAATATAAATTTTCTATTTTGAAATTTATATAACGAATATTTCAAATTTCATATTGACGACTTATCATTTTTTTATAGGATATCAAATTTATAGGATCTATCAAACTGGGACTCAAATATTATAAATGTCACTGTAATTGTATAAATTGGAGGCAAATATACTACGTCAATTAATAAAATAATTGCAACTTTATATTTTAGAATTAGATAAGTTCACTGAGTTAATTTCACACATTGGTTTGTGTTCCAGTTGTTATAATATGATCCAACGTTTATTTAAGCAATCGAGTACCGACACAGTAACAAACAGCAAACATCTAAATAAACAACAGGCATCTTGAAAGAAAAGCATCAAAAGCAGATGGGTGTGTAACTAATTAGTGGAGATCAGCACTGATGAAAATAAAAGTAAAAGCCTAACACGTATATTTAGTAGTTTATTTGTTTTTGGCGAAGCGCGAAGTAGCTTGTACGTGCACGAGGACGTTTAAACCCACGTCTCTGTTTCTTCCTCACTCACGCGCGTGCCAGCGAACGATGAAAAGGTAAGAAAGAAGAAGAAGCAGCAGCAACAGTAGAAGCTTCTTTCTCAACGGTAGAAGAACAAGATAAATGAAGGTATACACATCGAGTTGTAGTTGTTGGACCTGTACTCCTCTCCGAGTCCCAGGAGTGTTGGAATGGCCCAAGGCTTGGTTGTTATATGTATATATATAGTGAGAGGCTGCGAAGTGAACACGAGTCGCGATTAAGCCAAAACGGCTGCGAGATTTCCATAGACCAACCCGTTTGATCTAGTTGAAACGCTTCATTGCTCGCTCCCAAGACGTCTTGGCAAAATTACAATATGGGCGCAGTCACGTAACCAAGATTGCTCATTGTTGAATGTATCAACAATTTACAAATGGCTCTTTATTCTGTTTCCATTCCGATTGAATACAGCGAATATCGAGACTTTTTTGAAATATTGCCTTTTTCCTAGCTGGTCGTAATAACTAAACCTTTTCTTTTTTATAAATATGCGTAAAGCTAATTGTACAGAATAGACTGAATTAAAAATTTCATTTTGTAAAATTGATTATAGTAAAGATAATAATTAATGCATCCTATGATAGAAATAAAAATATAATAGGTCTCTTAAAAGGACAGTGTAGTGTCCACTCCATTGATTTAATACCGTTTACTTTCAATATCAACTTGCTTCGCTGACTCTCGTGTGGTATTTCATTAGTCCAATTATTCCTCATGCACCTTCTTGTTCAATGCTATTGGTTGAAAATAACGAAACTTAGCTATCGTACAGGCAGTTAAATTGTTTTAGATAAACAATCACTATGATAAATAGAATTACGTCTTTGTGATATATAAATAAGTAAGTAAACTAAACATTCGATTCTCGAGAATTTTATAAGTTTTTATTGTGAACTTTCACGAAATATCATAGTCTGATGAGTATATGAATACATCTTCAAGCAGTAGACTTATTCATAGCCTCCTATGATTGCAAGCAATTTTTACGACTGAAGTCCATATTGCCATAATAATGCCACCAGAAGAAAATGCACGAGCCGTCGCCACAATAGAGTGTCAAATATTAAAAATAATTAAGCTTTATGTAGACAAATGCACACCCATAAAATTGATAAGTGAAAAGAAAATGCGTTTGACTGAGCGAACAAAGGGTCATGCAGATGTGTCAGGAAAGGACAACGGCGTAATAAGCAAGACGGAAAGTTGGCAGCCAACGCGACAACGCGACGCTGCGCTGGCGATCAGCCGCGCTTGCTTTTACAAATATATTTGCTTAGGACAGCCGCGCTTACTGCTCATTTACATTTTAATTGCGCATTATCATAGAAAATATGGCTTTCTCTCACCCTCGCTCGTTATGGCTCACGCTACGACAGCCAATTCACCGTCCCTGGAAAATTCGAATCAGCGCGGCACAGCTGTCCTCGTGGATTTGTAATGTTGCTTTACTCCTCACTTTCTCCAACGGAGCAAGAGACACTTCTACGTCAAGTTTCATTCGATTTGATCGTGCGTAATTAGAAAATTCTTTGGCTGTGAATTTATGATGGAAACGGTACGGAATTTATCAACTATATGCTCGTACAGTAGATTTTACTGGTAGAATGATTAGCATAATGTTTGCCGAGAAAACTGTATATGTTACTTTATCATGATTGAAAAATGTATGTTAAAATATGTGGTTAGTTTAAAATGCTGTAAAGTTAATTGAAATTAATTTTTCCTGATTAAATGCACAAAATTACAATAATCACAGAAGCGTAATAAAAATTCATTATTTATTTCATGGAATTTCTTAATTTTATAAATATTTTTTGTAAATACAATCAATTATGATCAAATTTATGCCTTCTTTTATATTTTACTGCCATTGTTATTCGGATTTTCAGTGAATATTCAACGACGGTATATAACTTATCTCGAAAGACTGTTAATACATAAACAGGACAATAAGAGAAGCCACTGGAGAGGAAATAAAAAGAATACAACAGCATTTAGAACATCTAATCGCGGCTATTTTTCTACACTCCAGATGCGCACTCCATTTCTCCAGTGGGATGACAATCTCATTATAAAGAAGCCTCACCTCATCGCTCATTGGCATCATCCAGCTCGTCCGTCAAGCTTGCGTAATAGAGGGACTAAAGTCGAAAGCATACGGTGAGAAAAAAATCGTCTCACGGATAATCTTAACTAATGACATCATCACTCTAGTAATTTGTGAATCTCCCTCTCACTCGCTTTTAAATTTACATTTGTTCTAGCACACGCTTAATCAATTAATTTCTACATCAGTTACAGACGAGTAAAATAAAGAAAAAATATACAGTGCCAATGTTACTATGAGGTGGCGATGTGTGCGCCGCTAATATCTTCTTTCCCCGAGTTTCTGCCAAAATTGTCGCAATAAGCGGCGCGCACATGCCGCCCTCGTGGGTGCCTTTATTGTCGCCTGCACACACTCTCGTATTAGCTTGCGCATTAGGTTGTTCATTTTGAGGGAGGATCTGACGGCCTGGCACAAAACGCTTTATACTATTGTGCGCGCGCGATATGCGACGACACAGTGAAATTAGAAAACCATTTGGTAAGATTCTTCATTATCATGACTCATCGTTCCGATTATCCACTCGAGCGCTGAACTTACCTTCGCGTATACTGTTGGATTTTCGTATGCGCAGCCGTAAGTCCACGACGTCACACCTATTTAATTACATTATTACTTCATTTAGCAACAAGGTTCTTGTTCAATTCAAATTTTTTCATTAATCACTGTAGTCCTTTAGTTTAAAAACTACTATGAAAACTTGTTTTAGCCTATTGACTTGTACTAGCGAAGCTGTATTATTTAATTTTATTCGACCAAATGGGATTGGATTCAAGATAGAATTTCGATGCATAAAACTATTGTTGCTCATAAACACATTGCTTTTAAAAAACGGAAATGATTTCTACTTCCGATTGATTTTAACTAAGCCTTTTAGACATGCATGTAATAAATATATGCATAAGTAAATGAAATACTTTCCTTTATACAATCCAAACAGAGTTATGTTTCATTTGTTTTGAAATCGATTCGCTTTAATCGTTAAGATTATATTAAAATAAGATTATATTAAAAAATGATGCACACGCACGCGCACCTTATATACAAGATAATTACGACAAATAATTACAGTCAAAAGTCTAAACATACTTGCAAGAAATTATCATATTTACCTATTATCTGATCATCCAGAATGGCCCCAGACCCAGAATCACCTACACATGGTCCAAATCCTTCAGTGAACGCGCAAAACATATTATCAGTGAGTCTGTTAGATCCATAGGCATACTTGCATCTCTCACGACTTATCTTTTCAATTTGACTTCCATGAAGAAGGTCGGATATCGGCCCAAGTAACTGAGAATTTTACTATTTTTAATGTCTGTACAATTATGCAAGTGTATATATAGTAATACACACTTGCGTTGCACCCCATCCCGCAATAGATAATTTCGCATTCGAACCAATGGATAAACTTGTCTTTGGTAAATTAATAGCTTCGACGTTCCTAGTAAATTTGATCTTTTCGATCAGCTGAATATTCAAGGAAAAAAAAATTAACCCAAATACTTGTGATTTGTAAATGTAGAGCAAGTTTAACAGTTGAACTCACCTTAAGCAAGCCGACATCATAATCATAGCTAAGCTGATTAAACTTGGGATGTAGAAATGTTTTGGCTACCTTGTATACTACTCCATCCTCGTAGTATTTGGATGAGCCGGCTCTCACATGAAACTTTTCGGTATCAAACCTGAAAGTTTTAGCAAAGATTCAGTATAATAAGACTTTTCTACTTTTTCTTCTTCTTTTGTTTTGTTAGTTTTCGATTTACGCATTGGCACATTGAGCAGAAGTTATGATCCATTCATTGCTGATAATACTACCACAACAGAAATGATCGTAGTCATGGCCGAAGAAAGTCCCGTTATATTGTAGCGAAACCTATAAACTCGTACACGAATATTCGGTTTTGTCTTTTTTATCTCATGTATGATTCTTTACCATGTATGGGAAATCCTTGATATCAGCCAGTTGACCGTTGACAATTTTCAAACGTGCACCGTGGCACGCGAATACGCACAGCGCTACAAACGCGAGGAAGACTCGAGACATCGTCGCAATAAGTTTCGTTGCTTATTTGTTCAATTGCACTGAACTTGAGCTGCTTGGCGTGAACACTATATAAAGCTCGGAAAAACCTATATCAGCTTCTATCTAAGGAATTTAATATATTATTGTTTTGTTCCTTATCGCACATATACATTCGACAAGTAATACCTGCTTGATCCAATCGTAATCCATAGTTATTGCGTAACATAATTTACGTGGGCACTTTCTTGAAAAATTTCCAAGATGTGTACTTGCATCGATTTACTTGTAAAACATCCTCCCTCCTACACGGCTCTACATGGACGGAAGCATGAGGTAAGAAAGAAGAAAGAACGAACGATTCGAGTAGCTACGTTTAACATAAAAACCTGCTGCCGTGGCAAGTGTTCAATAAGTATCCCTATAAATATGCAAATGATAATGTCCACGGCATAAAGTATGCATGAAAATGGACTGTAGCCACCTAATATAATAGTAGTACTCGCTAGCGGAAGAGGCATCGATAATGGAAGAGGTTAAAGTCAGAGGGAGAGCAAAATATTCGGGCAGGCTGGAATTTCTGGCATCTTTGTACAAACATACATGGCCCGTCTAACGTTCGAGCTGCGGACCCTATTAGCATATAAATCCGACGATCAACGCGTCGCCAGCTTCGCTCTCGCTGAAATAGTCATTTGCATGATCAAGAAAGAGATGAAGAGCGAGAGAGACCCTCCGTGCGTCCATTGCATTTTTCCATTTTTCAGGCCGTTGCGCGCGCTCGATGCACAATACACGCTAAACGATATCGCTCAATCTGCAACGATCAAATGCGTTGACATAAGATCTGGGCCAACGATAAGATCGAGTATTGATTTACAATTTAATTGACGCATTTCCGTCCACTTTTTTTCTTCTTTGTGACGAGTCCCATTCGAGACCCATCGATGTCGCCATTTATCAAATGATTAAATAGCTCGTAAGTTGTTTAGCGTGAGACTCACATTTGATTTTCATACTGAGTGACGAGAAACATCAGATGCATTATTAATGTCACATTAAATACTTGCCACAGTATTATCCATTCAACAATCGAACGGTGAAATTGAATAAAGTTAGTCATCTTTTCAACAATACTTATTCGAAATGAATCTTTAAGCGAACTAATAGCTCCAATTACTCAGCTATTTTGCAAGTAAACTACTAGGCACCGACGCCAAAATCATACAAGAAAAATCAGAGAAAATAATTACCCGATCTTTTCTTCTCACTTTTTGGTAATACTAAAGAAAGTGATTTCCGTCAGAGAGCAGCTTCCTTTACACGGAGATCATTGACTTTGTCTTATCAGAGTGCACAAATACTCGTAATCTTAGCCGATAATGAAGAGCCACGATAAGACAAGGAAATTGGTCGTGCGAAAGATGGAGAGAAACGGAAGAAAAAGGAAGTAAAAAGCGTCTGGATTGAGGCGCTTGACTGGCTAGCGCGTGCGAGACTGCAATTTTATGACGACATTGTTGTCGTCGCACAACTGAGGATAAATTTACTCTGGGCATCGATCAAACGTTGTCACAAAGTTCGGAGAACTGAGAGCGAGTCAGCGAATCATTGGAAATTATGCTAATTGACGTCTGTCCAAGGCGAGTGATAAGATCTTTATATGATTGTCAATTGACCGAGCGGACTGTATTGACGATCAAAAGAATTTTCCGCGTTTCACAATAAATATTATCAGTTGACTTGTCTGTGTCTCGGAACGATGATTAAACAGGTGTTATTGCATTCCGTCGGAAAAGACGATGACTTTGCGATTATTATAATGGTTGTTTAATGCTCTAGCGCGAACGTTTTGTTTTGTATTTGGTGTCTTTATTAAATTAGGCTTCGACCTCGTTTTCAATGATTACGTACGTATTCAACGTCATCTCTATGATTGACGTTCCAAAGTTTAGAATTCAGAACGGAAGTTGCGTTCTCTTGCATCTGGCGATGCTGTTACGCAGCACGGTATACCTCAGCGGCTTGCGCCACTGACCCCCCATAACGTTTTTTCGTGCGGCCGGCATTGCATCACGTGAAACGCAGTGGAATAATTAAAAATGGAAGAAATCGTCAAGAACTTGACGAAAGTTATACAAAGTCTCCAAACCGAGATACAAGGTGACGGCCGTCAGAGAGTCCAACCAAGATGCCACTCGAGACCACGAGATCACTACTGTGAATGAGAAGATTAGAATGTTCCAATGCATGAAACCGCCATGACACACGGCGATACCAGAGAAGCATGTCTCACTCACTGGAGAAACTACAGCTCCTCCGGTGAGAGTTCATCAAGAAGTGGCAGCGTGTCACGCAGTCCAATGCCCGTGATGCGATGCCATAGCAAGGACCACTCGAGAAAGCTACTGACGGATGATTCCCGGATGAATCCCAGGCAGGAACGAAACCTGAGCCCCTAAATGTGAAGCCTTACTGTGGTGATATGGTTATGCGCGCTTGGATGCTGCGCAGTATATTGTGCGTAGATCTATTTGTTACACGGATAATGTTAGTGGATTAACTAATCAATGTTAATTAATTTTTTGACGAACAAATCAACACACAATGCAATGCACATCGTCCAAATGCTCATGATCAATACCGTAATATAGTCTCTGGCAAAAACGATGAAATTCAGGGTGAGTTTAGCACCTCCAAAAACAATGTCTTCCTCTATATTATCTGGTGTTATATAAGTTAAACCATTCATCCGCTCAGGTAGTAGTACAACGATAATGTCATAACGAAGGAGCAAATCAATCTGTTAGTATAGATCTAAAAGACTTAGGCTTGTTATGAAAAAATCCTGCGTACGCGAATTTCAAACAGATGACTTGGTACTTTAACTTGGTAACGTATTGGAACAGATGGATCACATTAGATTTAGAAAAGGAAGAGTGCGTAAAACTTCGCGACAAGTATTTACTCAAATACTAACGGTAAAAGTGAATGTCGAAGTTTACACCACCCTTAGTGAGAACGATTGCTGAAAAGACATAGGACTTGTGGCAGCCTGAAATAGAAATGATTTTAACCGCACCATGGCAGCTGTTGGTGATGCGCTCACCCGTGTTTTTAAATCAAAACGCTCACTGATAAAAGAAAAACTAATCGATGCAGAAAAACATTCTAACGGAATGTGACAGGATAATTATACATCGAGAAATGAGCGTTTAAATAAAAATTGTTCTCGAAAAGACAATCTTAAAAATCAGACATGATGCCTCATATTTCAAAATGAAAAACAACCGAACCACGATGAAACTAACGTCGAAAAGGTGTCTTATTTCAAACGTGTATTTGAAAGACGCGTACTATTTCGTACTGATTCATCTGACTTCTCGCAAATATTTACGGTTCTTTTTTTCTTGGTGAAATTTATGAGTTTACCTGTATTCCTTTTTGGCTTGTCAATAAGCCCATATCTGTTTATCAAACTAATAAAACTAATCACCTACTAGCTGTACAGCACAGGATGGACTTGATGTGTGTTTCTTGACGAATTTTCGTTATTCGGAGCAACGTACAAAAAATATCTATAAAATATAGGAACAACCATAAAGTTACTCGAATCACTCGGTTTCCTCGAAGACGATGAAAAAACTAATTTGTTACCGTTGCGTGCTATCGATATTTAGGCATAATTTTAGACGCTGAAGAAATTGGTGTCAAAACAATCGAGGATAAGAAATAGGCCCACGCAAAATTGATCGTGGAATTCAAAGGGAAGACATTGTGTACGATCTGTAATTTCGCATAATTCATCGGATCTCTAAATGTAGTCTGGTTGGGCAAAAAGTACGGCCCGATTCTGGTCAAACGATTGAGATACTAGAAAAAAATGAACTTATCCGAACTAAATTAGGCTACTTTGACGCAACGATAACCCTTCAAGTAAATCTCGCCAAGGATTTTCATTACTAGCTAATAATACTTACCTGAGGCAATAAAAAAAATATTAACAAATTTTTACCTTCCTTGTCTTTAAATGATACGAAGGGAGTGCGACAAGAGCCTCTGATGCAACATGCTGCACATCTCCAGCTTCAGATATAAGCAAATACAACTTACAACTTACGTCGTTCCGTCCTGAACTCTAAATTATGAAATACCAAGCGTCAAGATGACGTAGACTTTATATGTAGTGGTTTAGATGGAGGTCGAATATATATAATTTTGATTGAACTTCACTTATAGGGAAGTTCGTTTGATCGTTTAATTTTACTGTTTAAAATAATTTTTAAGTTTTACAAAGTGGATCTAAAATAACATTACAAGTAAATAATTAATAAATTTGATTATGGCCATTCACAAGTTTCTAAAGACAGAAATGCATCGTTAATTAAACAATTGTTGACGATAATTCGAAGATGTTATCAATTCGGTCGATCTTGAGTTTAGTGTTTTTATCGGATTAATCAATATTTTTATAATTCATCAGTCCATAAGGATAAATAGCAACAGTAATTTCTATAATGGACTTTTATGGAATTTTGTTGACGGACACTGACAGTGACATATTATAGGTAAGGAGTGGCCATGATTCAACGATTCGCATGAACAAAGATATTAATTTATTGTTTGAAGCAAAAAGAAAACCATCAAAATGATGTAAAAGTCAATAAAGATTCAGTCCGTGAGACGCATTATAAAATGCGAAGACATGCGCAATAGCTCCAAAACGAGGTAATTTTCAGCAGCTTAACGACGATCATAAAAACTATCCGAAACATGCGTTCCAAAGTACAGCCAGCGGCGTGCATATAAGCTTTCTCGAAGAGAAGTATAATACTCATAGCAGGTGGGTAGGCGACAATGTAAGCAAATTCGCTCTGCGCTCTCTGCAGAGGTTAAATCGCGCGCGTGCACATAGGTTCTCTCGCAGCCGGCAATGAAACAGTTGCGGTTGTAACTATTAATATTTAGGCGCACTTAAGGGACTTGAACGTTGTACCAGGTAATTATGAAGTTTCGTATACGTAAGCTATTAAGCTCGCGCACGCGATCTGCCTACCTGGCTTTACGGAAATGCGAGTAGCAAAAAGTCTTACTGTACGTGCTGTCAGAGACAGAGAGAAACGTGTACGATCGATACCTGATTTAACGAACAAATACAAACATATACAGCTAACTACAGCGCTTTGATTGACCAAGCCGCTGCATTATTCCTATAGCCTCTCTGATTTTCTCGTCCTTCTGTCTGTCACGTGTACGTACTCTATGTATGTATGTACGTATGAATTGAGTGTGGGAATGGATTAGCTCTGTTATTTCTGCCAACTGCCTGATTGGACTCTCTCTACCTTGTACTCTCACCTGAAACTTGGAATTTCGCACGATTGATTTCCTTGTCGTCGATTGTTCAAACCGCGATGGCAAGATCGAATTTCCGTGCGTGATTGATTGGTCGGAGAAAAAGCTTTTTATGGAAATATATTTTTTATTCAAAATATGATTTTATAATATATATTTTATAAGATTTTATAAATTTATTTTATATATTATATTTATAAAATTTATATTATATAGATTCATATTTATTTTATTATATATTTTTTATTTTTATTATATCTTTTATTGAGACTAATAAAATATTACAATTTTCTGATACCATGGGTAAGAGTATAATATAGTTTTGGTGGAGAAAAAGGGGGGGGGGATAAAAATCAAGAAACTCTTGATCGTTAGAATAGTCAGAGAAATACCAGAGCAGTTCATAAGCATGTTCTCTCATCGTAGAAAAGCTCACTGACCTTTTTAGATTTGTCAATTATAAGCAGGCGTCAAATCATCGGAGGCCCGCTAGCCATCTTATTCTTCTTAACCTTGAATAGATAGTAAACTCTCAATACAAGGGAAATAGTGTACTCGTAGTTAATCTACTGTTTAAACCTTTGCGTTGATGCAGCCTACTCCACGTCTATCAAACTGTTCCAATTTTTCTACTTTTATCTTGTTGACTGTGACTATGGCCAATTTCAGATTTCTCTGATCTGAGAACATTTATTTATCTACCCCATCTGAGTCTTCTAAGGCTTCTTGTGGAACCTCTCTGACTTAATCAACTTGCTTTACGCCGTCAATATCGAGAATTTCGTCTGTGACGCTTTCGACCTTCCGGTTTTAGCGCCCCTACGTACTGCACTGTCTTATCATGCGATATTTGCTAAAACGACGTTTGTCTGCTTAATGGAAGGAGAACGTTTTTTTTTACGTTTCCCTAGGGGATAGGATTTTAACCTGGGTAGCGTTTGGGTTAATATTCTCCCGTAGTTTTTCTATATATTTATGTATGTCTTTGACATTGATTAAGCTTACAAATTTCGGCAAATGATAATTTAGTAATGTATTTATTATTATTAAATTTTCATCTAACGAAGATTATGTTCAACTTGAAATTTAAATCGTGCTAATACACATTAATTGGCTCATAATGCTACAATGTCGCTATAGATGAATTGTTGAAGGGGCGAAGTTGAGTAGGAATAAAAAAGAATGATTTCAAATTAGTTTTTTTTTATTACAACAGTTTCTTTTGTAATGCACAGGATTACACAGGATTGAGCTCTTACTGCATTGAAGGACAGTCGGATACTAATTGTTTTCCGCCACGCAGGGCGGGGGCTCAAGTTTTTCTCCCCTCCCTTGCTTCTCTCCTTCCGCCGTCGCTGTAGCGCTAGGCCCTAACGAGGGCTCACCCTCTCCTCTTTACTAGCTCTGGCGCTCGCTATCATGTAGCTTAGGAACGTCTCTTATGTTCCTAGCTGTAAGAGGATGACCTCAGTGCCGCGAGGGCCAAAAGCCTCACATTTCCTGCGAGTCTGCCACCACCAGGTCGACTGTGGCGTAGAAAGGTGGTCTTCGAGAAGGTCCGGATGAGCGGGTATGACCAAGTTGCTACGCTACATTGCAGACGCATCTTAAATGTAACGCAAACGCAACCTAAATCTAACACAATTTAACATAACGCGTCGAGTTTCGAGAGCAGCTCCAATCGGCTTCACTTTGTCGTGTTTTAACCCGAGCTATGGTCACAAAGGGAAACTCCTAGTCGTTACTCACTGTAGCGTCTAATCGATGCCGTAGTCCTGCACTGGCCGGGCATTCCGGCATGTTGACTGCTTAGCTCTGGTTCTATCTGCGTTCTCCGCTTTCCCTAACGCAATTAGCGCTTAGCCGGTCTCGAAACGTGGCCTTCCTTTCTTTCTGCGACGTATGTCGAGAATTCCGCTTCCCGTCTCGAGGAGCCACGTGGACTAAAAGTTGACCTCGCTCTTTATATACGTTTTCAACATGATATTCCCGTTAATTATAACGATTCAAGCAAGAGGAGAAAACGAGAAAATCGCGAATAATCCACAAGTCTGCATTTTTCCACTGCAGCGGTGGGGAACATGGGGGGAACATGGGGTGATAATCGTACAAAGTCAAACTATATCGGAAATCGATAGCGGCATCGTTAGAAAAGAAGAAAACGAGAGAGAAAAAGGCACGAGATAAGCGTTCTCGTTGGCGTTCGGCAGGATAATTGGCATTAGACCGATTTTCAAGCGTATTGGTAGGATAATCGATAGAGACATCGGAATGTTGGCTAATAGTTCGGCGCCTTGTATATATTGTCGCACCCATGAAGCTTCGATAACGATGAATTATCCTACTTCTAGACCTAAAGCATTGTCGTATAATTCAACGTGTCTTTGAAGCCATTTGAAAGCAAGAAAAGTTGTACGTATTTTTTGCGTAATCGCGCTTTTCTGCAGAACAAATATCGATTTACAATTTTTTTCTTCCTTTCTTGTGTCTTTCCCATGGAGAAGATGTGCCGCACGCGCGTGACCGAGTTTTTTACTTAGCAATTAACCTCGTAAGATTCGTTATTGCTGCGCAACGCAACGGTGTATACTTTGTTCTCCCATTTTTTTAATGGGTTCTGGGGACATCGATTAACTGACTTCTCTTTAAAAAGCAACTTTCCGTGCTTCGGAATGGATAGTCGTTGTTTCATAGCGTTTGCGTGATGGATATTCACATCGCGGTCGTCGTGCTCTGTTTGCTTGTACGCTGCACCTACGCCGAGATTCTCGCAGGTTTTGGTAATAGTTTGACCGAATTGCGCTACTTTTTTCTCTCGGTATCTGTACATATTTTTTTTCAAGTATTGTAGTTGAATGCGTTTGAGTTTTCGTTTGGTTTCGTGTAATATCCATCAGTGTTTATACTGTCAAAAACATACAGCTTCGTTAGTTAAAAAGCACAACTGCGGTGCGTTAGTAACTAAAGTGAAAACCATATATTTTTCAATCAATAATGTGCTAAATGAAATATATCCTATTTCTACATACGTGAAAACATTCGTTTCTGTTTGATTTTTCTGTTGAAAACACTCTGTATTTTGAATGGGTGTGGCGTTTTTTTCTACAGTCGAGAGCATCTAGTATTTTCTAATAAGAAATTATGAATATATGTGTTATTTTGTGAACAGAAACTTGTCGCATTATAGGCTGTACAACATTTTTATAGATGCCTTGCTGTCAAATCAATGTCTATTTTTTTTAAATCATATCTACAGATCCAAGAGAATCCATAGATGATCCCTCAACAACAATTGGGAAGAAAATCGTCGACGAAGATGACCGAAGAATTGTCGGTGGTTACAAAACCACAATTTCCGAGCATCCCTATCAAGTAAATATTTTATGTATACAAAAAAATTTAGACTCGCACGAAAATAAAATGTCACTGTGAACAATTTGCTGAAAGGTTTTCTTGCGATACAATGGACGCTATCGTTGCGGGGGTGCCATACTCTCGGAGGAATGGATCATCACAGCAGCGCACTGTTTAAAATCGTACGTAAAGTTCACAGACAACAGGCAAAGAGAAGGAAATCCATTAAAATAAAGATAACATATTTTCAGAGTATTCCCAAGCTCATTGTCGATAAAAGCTGGTTCGTCGACGCTGAGTGGTCGAGGTCAGGTCAAAACTGCGCGTGAGATAATCGTCCACGAAGACTACAGTGCGCGCGAGTCCGACTACGACATCGCCGTTATCCAAGTAAACGCCTTTCGCAAGCACCTTATGTTTTTGTCGTGACGCTAATAATTAATATTTTATAGCTTGAGTCGCCGTTGCAGTTCAACCGGAACGTACAACCGATCGACTTGGCTTCCCACTCCGATGACTATTCAGATGGTAGTGAAGCTACGGTGAGTGGCTGGGGAGTACTCGATAGTCAAGGTGAAATAAGTAACCAACTTCGACAGACCTCCGTCACTTTGTTAGCCAACTCCGAGTGCCAACGATTATACGGACGTAAACGCATTACTAACAGGATGCTATGTGCTGGCACTGGTGGCAGTGATGCTTGCCAGGTAGTTGATTGGTTTTTTTACGGTTGGACGAAGAGCAAATTGTTTAATCTTGTTTCTGAGAGACGTCATAATCGATACATTACGCGGGCTATTTACAAAGCTATTAGTCAAGTGCGAAACAGTTGTGGAATTAAATTAATTGCGTGTTGATCTACTTTTTCAATCTACTTGAATTTGTCTTTTATTATTAACGAATAATCTGACTAGTATATTTTTCGGATGTATAATCATTTTTACTATATATTAGTCATAGTTTTAAATACATATCTCTCATTGTCTATAATACAACTTCATTATAATATTGATTTTCTTTTAATCGTTTAATTTATCTCAAATAAATTTGGAAATTATCCGTTAGAAGATAAATAACAATTACGAAAAGTAGATTATTTGAAAAATAGCATTAGAAGATTTGATTTGGATATGGACAACTTCATAACATTATTCCTCTACTAATTATTTTTAAAACGAATAGATTCACAAATTAAAACGCTATTAAAACGCTCAGTATTCATTGTTATGACTCAGAACGACAAAAAACCGTTTGAGTATGGCTTTAAATATCTAAATCGAAACATAGGAAACATAAATCGACCAGCTTTCATTAAAAAAACAAGCGAACTAGTACATTCCACTTATTCTCAAAGCAGTGCTCGTAAATCACTGTAAAAAAAGAAAAGAGAAAGAAAGAGACAAAAAGAATTCCTTCTTCTCTGATATAAAAGACGAAATCCCAGCTAAATCGTACACCTTACAGGGCGACAGTGGTGGGCCATTGGTGCAAGATGGTCGGCTGATCGGCGTAGTATCGTGGGGTTTCGGCTGTGCCGAGGCTGCCTACCCTGGCGTTTACACGCGGGTCACGGCGTTGCGCGCCTGGATCAGCGAAAAGACTGGCCTCTGAGCTGCTGCGTCTGCCATGCACCTTCCTATACTGCCGACGTTTTATGGAGGATCATCTGCGTTTAAATTTGATGTTCTTTTTTTTAATGCATTAAAGTACATTCTTTTTTCTTATTTTTATAATTAACGTGTTTTTTTAATAAAGTATTTTTTGAGTAATGATTAGATGATACATATTGACCTGTATTTCGAGAAAATTTTTTAGAATCTACTTCATTACTTGATGGTAAGAATAAACCAATTAGTTACATATTAGACGTGGACAAGCTATTTCTTTTTAAGATTTTCTTGAAGATGTAAATAATAATATTTTTATAACACAAGTGAACTTTGATATAAAAACATTTGTTTTGAAATATAGGTCAGAACACGTTCGCTTAAAGTTTACTCTGCACGTTCAAATCTAGTTAGCTTTGAATGGACAACTTCTCACTATACTTTTTACGTTTTTTAATCGGATTTTACAAGTTAACGTAACATGCAAATGGGAGCTATAAAAGCTGCGTGAAAAATTTTTCTTGTGTTATAAACCTTTTTGTTCTCACAATTTGTATACTTTTCTGTAAAAAAAAAGAATTTTTATATTTTCTATTGGAATTTTACAAATTAGAAAAAAGGTAAGCAATTGATTTATCCAGTAATTTGCGTGGAGAAAAAGAACATCAATTCTATATAGCGATAGTTTTATGTTTTATCTTCACCTGTAGTATCAAGAATCACGTATCTAATGTATAAACAGCGTAAACTGTAAAAACTGCATAAAAAGTAAACAAAAGATTTTCCTTTTTTTCACAAAATACGCGACGCATAAAATACAGATCCCTATTGCGAAGTTTTAAAAGTGAAATACGAGTGTCGTTCGGGAAGAGTTATTTACGGTGTACAAAGTTTATATACTAACCGTTGATAAACCTGCTCTTGTCTCGTGTAAAGTTACTTCTGAGTCAATTATTTTATAAATATTTCCGTATAATTAACAAGCGCGCCATCGATGCAATATACGCACGCAAATTAATTAGCACGAAATATGAAATAAATTTCCGCTCGAAAAATGTATTAATAAATACCTCATTTATTTGCAATAAAACATTTGATTTTTACGTTTAGTAAATAATAGAGCATTCTAGCGTTATTTTTTGTTATTCCGATTTCGCCTTTGTCCGTTGCCTCGCAGTACTTGCACGCTCGCCCTCGTCAGACCGGACGCATGTGTGCGTGCGTGAGCGTACCTCTCATGCCCGATTCGTATGTTTGAAGTGCGGATTATCGAAGCCGGGAGTGAGGAACGACGCCGATTTCGACAAGCCGTGAAAGCGAAGACGCGCGCAAGAGGAGAGATCGAGGGATTGGGAGTACAGGGAGAGGGCCAGCGCGGCGTGCGTGCGAGCGTTGAGCGGGCGCTCACTCTCTTCCAGCAACTTCCAGGCAGGACGCCGAGGAGGCAACAGTAAGGAAAGAAGACGCTCTCAGCATTGCAGCACCCTAGTTCAGTTTGTTTGGTGAGCCGAGTTGTCCCAGTCTTCGTAACGGTGCAGCCGACGCTTCATCAGCTGTCATCGGCGCTCGGAGGACCTCAACAGCAAAAACAGCGGGAGGAACGGTGACGTAACAGCAGCGATACCTACGGCAGCGGGAGATCTCTCACTCTCTCTCCCGTTACCGAGCGCGCGCACACCTTGCACGGGAGTCATCGATTCGAGGTGATCTGTTGCTCAACGGTGAGCATTAGTGCGACTGTTGAGCAACTTATGGTCTTCGAAACCGGCCGGAGCGGTTCATCGCTGCGCGGGCGAGCATTCGTGCCGACCGGCCGAGGTTTAATGCTTCTCTGAGGATGCCGCCTCGCCCCGATCGCCGGTATGGGCGAGGTATTGCCGGGTCATAAATTTTGTTTCTTTCTTTTAAATTTCTTTGTTTAAATTGGCTGGCATTAGACTTTGTTTTAATTGATTCTTCGTCGTGAATTTTGTATTGCATTCTCTCCTTCCACGGATGTCGCAACCTGCATGCCCAGTAGGTTGCTAAGTAGCCGAAGCATCTTTCCTCCCAGATCCTTATGTAAATAATATTGTAGAGTCGTGGACAAAATTTTAATAGTAAAAATTGACTCACTTTACATAAACACTATTGAAAAATATCAACCTCCGCTTCAAATTATTTCAATAAAAGGCAAATTGAACGCGAAAGAAAAGTTCGATTAGTAAAGCTCAGTTATATTTTAAGTTATTGTGCAAGTTGTAGAAAAGTGCCATAAAACAAGCGCATTAACGAGCTGGCCTAATCAAATAGGAATTGCTCCGTACAAATCACCTCTATCACACTGTAGCAAGACCAATGTAAAATTGATAACAAGAGATGGGGGGAGGGGAGGAGAACAATGTGTGGTGCATGTGCGAGTTCGCGCGAGAGAGCAGATCAGATAAAACAAAAGGCGAGGTGATTAACAGGCGTTGCTAGCCTGCACTGCAGTAGTGTAGCAGCAGCTTCTCTCTCACTTGCAGGAATGCCAGGAGCGTAGTTACTCTTCCGAGGTAATTGGCATTATGGCCGACGGCGGCGGCGTACAGCCTCCACCACGGCAGCGGCATAATCGATAATACGCGGGCCTATCAGGAATGTTGGCTAATAGTTCGGCACCTTGTACACATTGCTAACAGTGAGTTATGCATCCCGGACAAGAGCTTTGTCGCATAGTCCCCTTCCCCTTTTGCGATATTGTCGCGCTAAAGTTTTCGCGATGATCAGTTCCTAAGGTTATTAATGGGTATTGCCAATTTGCCGGAGGATGTTAACTTCTTTTCTTTTTTTCATCACTTAATGACGAAACAAACTATTTAATTTGTGACTATATTATCGTCACATTATTTGATCTGCAATTTTATAATTTGATCGAGAGTTCGTTATTCATCAAGGTTAATTATACGTTATGAGATAGTATTTTGACCTTATTAAATTTATAGGCTTTGTTGGGAATTAAAGGCAAAATTACACTTGTATTATTAGTTTAATGAAATGAAAATATTCAAGGATAGTATGCAAAATAATTGCGTTAAAACGCTCGTCAATACTTAGCTGTTTTCTGTTTGAGAAATTGCTCATCTATTTTCAATAGATGGTAAAACAGTAAATCTTAGTTATTTGTCTTATTTCTGGTCACATTAGCGAATATGTCAAAGTAGTGAAATGGTTAATAAATAAGCCATTGAAAAAGCTAAAAATCTATTTTAAGAATATAGTATTCTATTTTTCTAGGTTAATTTCAAAACAAAGAAAAACTTTACATACGTATTCAGGTTATCGTTAAGAAATAAAAATCAATCTTACGATACAATTGCAAGGAGTGAAAAAGATTAATGAAATATTATCTCGAAAAATCCGGTTACATATGTGATGGTAAAGATAAAGAAATTCATTCGGTATCACTGCAAAACAATTGCAGGTTATCGATTGTAAAATTCAAAACTATTCTAATCTGAATGTATAAAAATTGTTAACAGCAACTATCTCTCTCTCTCTCTCTCTCTCACTCTCTGTCTCTGTCTTTCTATGGCGATCCAATAATGTCGCATCGTAATCTACACACACACACGCTAGAGCGAAAATAAAAAACCTTTTAACTCACCAACAGCAATCACGAAAACATATACAACAACTGTCCGTTAAACAAATGTTCATGCATTTTTCACAAGCCATCACGAGTACGAATACATTCGCTACAATTACATCAGCTTTCACTCGCTCTGAGGAATTATTGATAGTGACACGCTCGCGCGCACACACACACGCATGCACATCAGCAGTGGCATGGTAGCATGGTACAATCGTAATCACGTATTCATAAAAAAAATCTTGTCCCGTACAAAGCGATAAAAGGCTTGTCCATCGTGGATTTGTCATCGAAAGTTATCCTTCGTCATAGCTAGAACATCTAAATCGGGGACAAAATAGATTTATAACACGTCTCCTTCCGCGCGGGTTACAGAGCAGAGGATAATTCGTCGTCTCCGGGAGCTCAAGAAAAAAATCAATACTTCTATGTAACCAGAGGAAGACGGCTCGGGATCTTCGTGAAATTGGAAAATTGTCAAATGATGTGGTTTTTTCTGCCGGGGGCATTAAAGTGGCCGATTACTCGACACCGATAAATTACCGTCATGCAGCAACTACCCAACCTTTATATATTTGTGACTTATCGCATAGATCGTAATGAATATACATGCGGCAATGTCCGGCAAGCATTAATTTATGCATAAAGCTTGTACGCTCGCTCGTCTCTTGACGGCTAAAACCCCTCGTTGCATAACCCCCCTCCTCGTAAATAGCTCGTCGAAACCCTCTCCAACGCGCGCAGATAAAGACGTATACTCGTATAGGCTTCGATATATGTGCGACTTTTCGGAGATTTATTAGTTAGAGCTGATGTCATGCTCTGACATTTTTGATAAATCTGTGAATTGTAGGCTGACTATGTCTGCAATATCTGTCGTCTAGGTATTTACTCTTTAATTTAATAACGAACGATATGCGACTCTGATATTGCTGCAGCTTATTGAAATATCCAATTAATGCATTACTCTAGTTTTTGGGCTTTCTGGTTATCAACATTTGCTATATTTATTTTTAAATTTGTATTTTTGCAGTCTCTTGTGAATTTTGTAATGTAATCTTGTTATCTTGAAAGCGCAGATCAATTTCAGATAATTTGATATTCATAACTGACTTGATCTATTGATTATTTGCAGGCTAACTTGCTATTTTCACAAATTGCGTATCGCTTATTTTTGTATAGCTGTGTATTATTTGTATTATTTGTGTCTCAAATGTGAATTTAGTATAAAGTTGTGCCACATTATTTAAAAGTCTTTTTGTTGGTATTAAATAATGTCATTGCTAAGTAAGAATTGCAATTATAGAAATTTACAACATGTAAGAGAACAAAATAGAAATGTAGATCGAAACTCTTGAACAAGCAGAGCAAAAGGAGCAAATGAGAAAATTCCTTAGCCAAAACTATCGCCACCCTTAATAAAGTTTATACTTTCTAGCGGGAAAAGTAAGTGTCTACAAAGTGTATGCGTGTGTGTCTATGTGTACGTACAAAAATAAAAATACAACAATCAGGCAGCAAGTGAACCATCGATGGATAGAATCTTGTTAATCCAAGGTAGGAAGCTACCAAGTCTGATATAAACACCAGGATACACGCATTTAGCATCAACCGACGACAAAAGACCAACAAGTACATCATCGTTGGCTAGCACTGCTCCAATGTCCAGCTATGCATATCAAGAAAAATACTCAAAGTAGATAAAGAGACAAATGAGGTGCTTGTATGGGAGTGGTGGCTTCATACACATGTACGTACCTGGCATAAGTTTGCGTTGGTAGCGCAGAACATTTTAGAAGTAAGCGCACGGTACCGTGGCATCGAGTTAATACATGAGCGTTGATTTACGAGCGAAGCTTTCTCTACTGAAAGCTTAGATCCTCGCCAACCAACCAGATGCAGCACACTGCCGTCCTTTAAATGATATTTGTTCGATGAAGGTAGGAATATTGGTAGATTAGCGTTTGTTGTCCTGGTCTGCCAACATAAATCGTAGCGCATATGCTTTTTCTACAATGGGCCTTTTTGTTTTAAACACATTCGACGACAAAAAGTATGGAGAGAAGTTTGAGCTACGCATGAACATTTATGAGATATTTAATCAACCATAGTTGAACTAATTTTGTCAATTATGCATTTACATATCGAACCATGCTTGAATATTTTATTTATATTGGTATCAAATTTATCTGGAAATTTCACAAAAACTCTAATAAATTACCATTTTTTAAATTTGAGTTCTTCATGCTTTCACGACTATTTTTAGGCTGGATCATTATTGATTAGAAAATTTGAAAGCCTTTCTATAAAATTCAAGAGATCGAAACGCGTTAAAAATAAATGCAATGCTAATGAAAATGCGTTAAAAAATTATTTTATTTTAAGTTTTTATGGTCATAAATAATTTACAAAATTAAACCATGCTTTATTTTCACTAAAACGCTCGAAATTTATTCGGAGTGGTATCCCTTTTATCGTCAATTTACCAAATTGTTAAATCATTTTTGAGCTCAGTAAAACCCTTTAAGTATATTGTGTGCGTTTCTTGCAATATCGCTTGTCGCGGCTAATGACATCGAAACACATTATTGCACGTTACAAAATTATATACATCAACGTCATTATTACAGTTTAATCCAATTATAGTTACAATAAATTATCAAACTATGACACAGTCTATTTCATATTATATCAATATTTATTTAATGTTCATCGAAAACCGGCACAACGATCAATTGATCGCGAATTGTTATTAATCAGTATAATTTAACAATGTGAGATAAGAACAAATGTGATTTGTACGAAAAAAGGCGAAAGAGATAAGTAAATACTAGTCGTAACGCGATAAAGTGCCAGCCTATATAAAGTACCGAGAAAACTAACGGCACTATGCCACTAGCCAACATGAGAATCACCTTGTCACTACTCGCTGTACTCCTCGTCGATCGTCATTTCGGTAAAATAAAGAGGAAAAATCGAAGAGGCATTTCGTTAACATTTTTACTTTGCAGTGTACGCAGAACGATCATTGTTGCCGGACCATCGTATAGTAGGTGGTGTCGAGGTGGACATAGTACGGCATCCTTATCAGCTAACGTTACAGCGCTCGGGATTGCACACTTGCGGCGCTTCGATCATAAGCCGGAAGTGGGCCGTCACCGCTGGTCACTGTGTCGGGTAATTTATTAGGCTCGATTCCTCTTTGAATTTTTCTGATGCCACATAGAGCATTTACTCGTCTCTTGTCAACAGAGCCGAGACGTCGCTGTATCGCATCGGAGCTGGCAGTAGTAGCCGTATCCATGGCACTTTTCATAAAGTCGCCAAAGTTATACGTCATCCCAACTACGATTCTGCTGCCATAGATTACGATATAGCGCTGTTAAAGGTAAAGCAAATGTAATTTGTTTTATTTTTCGAATCGAGTGTAAATGAGTTAGAGATTTGCTGTACTGTAGATTGAGGACGAGTTCCAGTATGGAGACAACATGCGACCCATCAATCTACCCGAGAGAGAACTGCTGTCTGGCGAGATTGTCAACGTGACTGGATGGGGTGCCACCTCGGTTAGTAGACAATACTGTATTATCTGCTGATACGAGCGCTCCGCAAGCTGGACGCTTGATGCCCGTTTATTCGCAAGGTTTTCGCCTAATCTATAAATATTTTCTTAATTCTTACTACATTCTGGTCTTCCTACTCGTAAAGTTACGCCAAACGATTTTTTGATTCATTTATTGTATATTACAAATAACAATACTGCAACATCACTTCGAATGACCCGTGAAAAAAAAAGAAAAAACTAAAATTGGCTGTCAACCAGACTAAAGCTGGTGTGATTGTCGTCAAACGAATCGATCGATCGTCTAAACCGCAAAGCGTATTTGCCATGACAGCAAGGAGGAGCGAGTTCCGAGCAACTGATGCGAGTGACACTGCCAATAGTCGACCGCAAGACATGCGAGGACGTCTATACACGAGTAAAACCCATCACCCAACGCATGATTTGCGCTGGTCAGTTGAAAACCGGCGGTAAAGACTCTTGCCAAGGTGATTCTGGTGGACCTCTGAGTGCTAACAATACACTCTATGGAATCGTGTCTTGGGGACAAGGCTGCGCTCAACCTCATTACCCCGGCGTCTATTCGAATGTAGTTTTCTTGCGGCCGTGGATCACCAATGTGACTGGCATTTAAAAGTGTTATTGACAAGCGGGAAATACACGATGTCAAAATTATTTGAAGTCGTCGATATTATTTTTTTTTTGCTTTATTTCTGAGATTTATCGAAAATTGTTACCTTTGGAATTGCACGGTGTTGTAGATATGTGAAAAATGAACTCTCCGGATACATCTCTATGACTTATTTATTGTCAATGTAAAAATTAAAGAAAAGAACTTGTTAACTGATGTTTCCAAGTAATTTTTTCGCTCTATCAATATTAGCCAAGGGTATCAATGAAAATGGATTTATCCTACTATTTATTTGTTTTACTTAAAAAAAACTCATTTACCTTGAGCATGGCGATATCATTAGTCAGCAGATCTTTATCAAAGCTCTGATGTACAATAATTTTGCTGACGTGAAATATCCTCGCTTCAGTAGACCGTCGATACAAATCCATTGAACCCGTGAACACACTGATCCTTGGTACAGCAGAGCTAAAGAAAAAGTTCAGTAGTACACCTCATCAATAGTCTAACAAAATACAATAAGTCAGGTGAGCACGCGGATCTATCTAAATATACGTACTCGTAAATACAGGATGCTGGCGTTATTGTCCAGGACTCGTGGACGAGGGCACCGCTGCACACGTGCCTCCCATCTCTGCGCACCGACACCTACATACATACGCATATCGTCTAGGAGTCGGGAAATTCGATTTTGCCTCCAAATTAAATCCGAGGTGAAATAACGAGGACTTCGTGTCTTGCAGTTTTTACTGGGTCATTGCGCGCGTGCACGCGCTCACTCGCAAATTCTTTTGCATTTTTTTGCCTTGATCAACGGACCACCACCCCGGCAAATTCGAAGCGAAAACAATATTTATTTTGCTTTTTTGGCCCTTTCCACTTCAATCTAATATTCCTCTTGTCTAACTATGTGTCAGTCTATCTTTTTTGTTTAGTTCGCTAGTCTCTGGATTTTTAAATATGGCTAGGATGTAGGTAAAACTCGCAACTGCGTGTGTGGTGTAAGTATTAAGATATACGAGTGAGAGCGTGATTTATGTTTTTTTATTTCGTTGCCAATAGTTTTAAAACTTGAATTCTTTGTTGAAATATGCATTCGGTAAGTATGTTAAGTACAGCTAGCGAATATTGGTATTTTGCATTAATAATACGGTAATAATAAAACACTTCAAAGTGTTGTTATTGCTGCAGAATATTTAAAATCAGAATGTTTAAAATCACACTTCTGCAAAGAAAATCCAACATCGATCAAGCGGATGCAATAATCGGTTATAAATTAAAAAATTCAAATTGATTTCTCGAGTGGAATACGTACACCCAACGTGGATTGAATCGCGACCTCCCCAGTTAGGTTGGTATGAGAATTCCGTCGTTGCATTGAACGAAGAAACCGCGGGAAAATTCGTTTTAAGATACGATAAAAAGCTAAAACGTTACTAATTTGTTTTTAGGTTTAAAATTAATTGTTTGCCGAATAATGAATTTAGATGCATGATTATTTGATTTTAGGTTTTAATTATATAATTTAAGAACGAGCGTTATACTATGGCCGATCTGAAAACCACCGTTACGGACTAAAAGTAGCACTCATAGTCTCATACCAACCTAACTGGGGGGGTCGCGATTCAATCCACGTTGGGTGTACATACTGGACCGCAGGCGCGATATGTACAAGAAAATGTTTTCTGACCTCTGCCCAGGGTTACACTATGCATGCGCCTTTTATATAATTAATTGATAATAGCCTGTATCAGCAAGGAATGTCCCCGAAATTAACCGGCACATTGGATGTACTGTTCAATAAAGTAATCATCAATGAAAACAATTCTGCAAATACAAGCGCACCACTAATAATAATAATAAAAATAATAATAAGATAGAAAGTCAAATTGAATGTGTGATCGATGGCTTAGTATTTACACCTTTTCCGAATAAGCAATCCTCTCATATGATCTGACTAATGTTGCTCGCGCGCGCATGGACAGTTATTGCATCAGCAATGTGTGTTCGAAATAATAATCACACGAGAAAAGTTGCCACATTGTTGGTTGTTTATCTTTTGAAAGTAATAAAAATACATGCAAAGTAAAAAGTTTTATAAAAAAAACTAAGAGGAAAAGGAAACTCACGAGGTATGGAAAGTCGGCTATATCAGGCTGTTTACTCTGTTCCGTAGCTGCAAAAAAAGGCAAGTTCAAGAGATTTTCGTCGCTCTAACTTACTTTCGTGAACGGAGAATACCGATGACGGAGAGTAGAAATAGAAGCGGCAGCAGCAACAGCTTGGACATGTTGACGATCTGCCGGGAAAAACTTGTCTGGAAGAGAGAAAGAGACTGTAGTTGAAAGAGAGTTTCTCAGATAGGAGGATCTTCGAGATAAGCATATCTTGGAAAAGTTTGCTTTGGGAGTTTTGATAATAAACTAAAAGTGAAACAGTCAGAATAGGTAGTCCCACTATCTCTAATTTCCTGTTTCACAAAATTTCAACGCTGTGACGATTAAAGCCACTGGACCTCCTATAATTTTTGCTAAGAATAATATTTACCCGGAGAGATGACGTTTAACTGACCTGCGCAAATTATACGCTTGGTCATTGACTTTATTAAAGTGTAGATTTTTCTCACGTACATTTTATAATTGAATCATCGACACTGCCACTTTTATCCATACTTCGAAATCATTTCCTCTATGGTAAATACGAATCATAAAAATTATACATTTATAAAATTGTGTAATCGTACAGCATATTTACTTCTTCTTTTTATCATACGATTAAAAATCTATACCCTTGGCACAAAAACGACGGTTTTTTAAACTAAAATGCTAATAGGTTATTTTTAATTCGTATCAACTGAAAATATAAAAATTATAATTTGTATCTTTCTGTAAAAAATATAAATCAAGTTTTTTTTAATAGCATGGATCTTATATCTTTATCTTCACTGGAGGGCAATGGCTCTTTAACTGAGGCTGATATGCCAACGCGCATACATGATTGCATATTGTAGATTGACCGGATATTAATTGATAACCCGTGAAATTGAAAATTCAAATCATTTTCAACAATTGAGTATCGATGAAATCAAGTGTTAAAAGCTAGCACATAGATTTTTTTTAACTTATTTGAAAAAAATAACTATATTTTTTGTTTGTCATTTAAGTAATAAATGTTGTTGAAGATATTTGTTTGTTCATCAAAAACCTATGACTTAAAAAAATCATTGAATTTTTTGATTCTGGACTCATTGCCCAAATTTGAATCGGAGTAGAAAATTAGAAAAATTTATAAAATAATTTATAAATAAACCGATCGTTAGTTCACGAGATAAGCTAACAGCATCTAAATAATTAAATCGCAAATAGAATAATTATTTATCGAATTACAAATCTAAACTGTTTTAACTTATGATTAAAGACTATAATCGCCACTAGTCGAAGCAGTGCGCATATGTCCTAGTAATAATACGTACGTAGTACCACTTACACGTAATATAATCTAATCTGACCATCGTGTCTATAACAAATTTCATCACAACGATAAGGGTTGCGTGCAAAATAGGAATATTATTCCTGCAAAAATAGGTATGTTGATCACGTGCGAACGAGAGAGATAGCAAATAGGTAAGGTGGTTAGGATCCTATTGATATAAATATATTCGGTTAAATTCTAATGACATCCTATTTCAATTCTAATGAATATCGTTCCGACTGTTTCGATACTGAATTAATTTTTATTCAAAAATGTTTATTTAAATTAAAATATTATATAATTAAATTAATAAATAAATGTCAAATATTTAATCAAGAAATAAATTACTACATTATTGCAATCAATATTACTATATTAACATTGTAATATTCTGTGAAGTTATGGAATGTAATTCATTAAAACAATTTCTTTATAGAATAACTATTTCATATAAATAATTTTATGTATTAGTAAAAACATTCAAAAATGAACATTACTATAAATTGTGTAAATCCCATGTTTATTTTAAATAGCTCTATATTTGCTCCTTTTAAAAATATCTTCTGCTTCTTTTTCGTACTACTGTAGCAATTAATAACAGCTTGCCTGTTGCTATCAGCATTAAACGAAAAACAAAAGATATTTTTGAAAGTATGAAAGCTTAACATTGAAACCGGATATCACTAAAATTTAACCAGATATATTTATGTTAATTGGACCCCTGTAAAAAAAGTGACTAGATTGTGTATGTGAGTGTAGAGTAGAAAAAACCGACGGCGTGTCGTCGGTGTATGGTGGTAACGGTCGATCGCTTCTTGTTCGTTCAACCTCTGCCGCATAACATAGGTGAAGTGCTACACACGCTGAGACTTATGCACACTATTTTGACTAGTGGTCACGGGCCTTTCATTATTCGCCAAAGGGTTTTATATTTTTAATTTGGTAAATTATTATTCTATTTGTGATTTTATTTTGGATGCTGTTAGTTCATCTTATGAATTAACGATTGACTTAATTATTAATTTTTTAAATCAATTTTTCTAGTTTTTTAATCCCATTCCAATTTGGGTTATAGGTCTAAACCAATAAGTTCACTGATTTTTTAAAGAAGTAATTTGTGAATGAACAAATAATTGTCATGAACAAAATTTATTGCTTAAATGATGAACTAGTGAATGGATTAATAATTTTGTGGAATAAATTAAAAATTATTGATGATCAATCGTCGCAAATAATTGGAATTTTGAACTTCGCGGATTATGAGTTAATGTACGATTATTGCAATCATGAATGCGTATTGGCCTATTGGCTCTCGAGAGCTACAATGGCTCAAACACCACCACCTCTAGATTAGCCACGGAAAATAGTCAAAATAAAAAAAATAATTTTCAATAAAGTCGAAATTACTCAAATCAGCCATGGTGGCCAAATAATTTGCTCGCATTACAATTCCCAACAAAAAAACTATCAAAGTGTTTCTTTTTTACGCAAACTTTAAACGATAATATTTTGCCGAAATATCAATATTTGTTCAATTCTAAGATCTTGAAAAATTGCCTACTATCACAAGAAATGTGCCTCGTTATAATATATTTGAAAAGTACATTATTTTTTATAAAGAAATTTGAATAATGTAATTGGTATCATAAGCTATTCAAACAGTCGTCTTGCGCATACTTAACTTACGGAGTTGGCTGCGGCTGCTTTATTAGTGTATGTATATTAAATTTCTTTATAAAAAATAATGTACTTTTCAAATATA